AGCGAGAGGGAGAGCGAGAGAGAGAGAGAGAGAGAGAGAGAGAGAGCAAGGGGGGCTCAGAAAAGCAAGGGGGGCTACCCTCTTGCCCCTTGCCTTGGCGAAAGAAAGAGAAAGTGTGTCGCTTACGTAACGTGGTCTACCCATGCACTTTCACTGTCCTTATGGGTATGTTGGAGCAAGGGCTCCTTCACAACTAGACCTTCCTGAAAGCATTGTCTGAACTCGGTGCCAAAAGACTGATTGCTCGACATTCCCCAATGCCCACTTAATTACTCAGGTCGTGAAATGCTACGTAGCTAGCAAAGCTGAAGTACAACCCATAAACGAAGGTTCAACACTAGCAGAAAATTATATACAAGCCTGAATTGCACAGTTCTGCTACAACTGCAACGGAGTAGTCCGCGGCTGTCGGAGTAATCGTAGCAAAACTCGTGAGCACCACAAGGGAAGCAACAACAGTGTAAAGACCAGCAGAAATGGAGCCTGAAGCCGAGGGAGCCTAGCTCAACGACTCCAGGCCCTTGCCGCACTACCAGCCCCCAAGTGCACGGTCGCGGAGACTAGTAAAGCTGGAAATCCTTGCTCTTCGTAGGACTTGGTGACAGCTTTGGCAGAGCCCACGAACCAGAAGCACACCCAGGCAGGGACCTGGCCGGGACAGTTGCAAAGTGGTGTGCAGGTTGCCACATGGGGACATGTGGATCATCCCGCATGTCTCCAGTCGCGCCTCCACACTGTGCGACTATATTCAAGAGAGTGTGTAGACAAATCGTCGGGCTGTGTCTCCTGCCGGTTGGTGTGTCCATAACGCTGCAGCAATCGCTGGTCAGTGCTTGAAACCAGCATTCGACAGCACTGCGGGGCCAGGATGTGCTGGCGAGAATGGGGAATCAGACATTTATGTCTTTGATTGATGCCGCCGCACGCCAAGTGAGCAGCTTGCAGCACGCCTTAAGCGGCAGAGCATCTGTCCGAGCGGTTCAAAACTGACTTCCAGGCATCCCTCTCTCTTCTGATGCCCATCGTTGTTCGAGGACTCAGGCCCGGAGTGCTCTCATATTCTTTAGGGTTGAAGGCGTAGCGTTTAGAGTTTAGGGCGACGCATGCCCTAGACTAGGCCACGGTGCTCCCTGCTCTTCTCTTCCACAGGGTCTCCGACGACAGGACCAGTATGCCAGATGCCCAAGCCACATCAAACCCCCCTAAGCCCTAAATCCTCAGACCCTCTAGACTCTTGAACCTCTTAGGCCTGCATCTTTACACCCTCTGAACTCTCAAAGCCCTAAGCCCTTAGAAGTGCTGCTAGGGAGCGAGAGCCAGCCAGCAAGAAGTGGTCTGCTCAGATCTTCGGCCCGCCCCCAAGAGCTCTCTGTTTGTTTAATCAGATTCAATCAGCTTTAGCATGAAGGGAGGAGAAACCTTGGAGATGCACACACACGTAAGTACATAGTCACAAATGCAGAATATTTAGCAAGATGGCCGGGACCAGCATGAACCGAGATTGGGATGACCATAAGCCATAGCGCGGACAGGATAACGCGAGAGTGCGATCGACAGCAATCCCTTCTTCATGTCAGTAGTAGAGCCAGTACAGAAGTGGACAAAGCAGCATGCTACAGTATGTTGACATCGGCAGAAACACTCGCTATGAGGGGTTTGATGTAGCCTGTATTAGTCTTCTACAGAATTCCAATCGGATGCTGTTGGTTTCGGAGAAGATTGAGGCCTCAGCTGTCTCTCCCAGAGCAGTGTCCGTCTCGTGCGTTTTGTGTCACATGCTTGCATCAAGGATCCACATCGCAGTTGGTACAGAATGCCCCCATCTCAGTTGTTCACTCATATTGCAGGTAAGCTCAGTTGCTGAGCTTCTCGATTACGCCAAACCAACTCTCGAAGCTAAAGCGGTGACGGGCCAGAATGAAGAATGCATGGTGAGGTCGATTTCATGAAGCCTTACCTGCCGATGGTTGCCAGCTCCTCAGACCGCGTACACGTAGCTCTTGGCCGCACAAAATCTGTGACGTCCTACACCGTCTAACATAGGGGTCTAAATAATGGGGTTGCCCTATTGAATTATAGTACCACAAGCGACGACAGGTAAAGTTAAAGTAGTCAAGCCCCCTCCACCCCAAACCCAAAGCCCTAAACCCTGATCCATCTGAAACATTAAGACCTTTCAGGCTGACGGAAAAAGGCCTTCAAAACAAAACCCTCACAGCTAAGCAGCAAAAATCGCAAGGCGCCCATGCTGGAGCAGGCTTTGTTCGACCCTGTGTCCGAGGCACCCATGCTACAAGAAGCCGTATGCTTTTCTAGGATTCTACATGGGTAGTTCTCTTAATTAGGTTCACTTTTCGGGTCCTTTTCATACGGGTGCCGTACTATTTTGGGGACCTAAAAAGGGATTCTGATTTAGAGAGCCGCCGGTATGATACTACAGACATATGCTATATTATTGCTATACTAACCTAAAGTCGCGTCCGTTTTTGCAGAGGCACTAGCACTTTCCCGATTCTGACTGTGAAGGTGATTTCTTATTTGCGTGCCTCTCATTATGCATCCCTAAGCCCTAAGCCCTAAACCCTTAATGGGGGCTACTGCATTAAAAGAAAACCTAAACCCTTGCAGTGGTTTGCCCCTCGCTTTTTTGAGGAGGGAGACCTTTCAAGCTTCGTTGGGAAGCCTAGAGGTCTAATGTCTAGGGGCCTTACTAATTAGAACAGGGCTAGGGCGCATAGTATACTATTATGATAAGGAGCCCCCAAAACCCTATCGTAAATATTAACATTAGTCTAGGGTCTAGGGTTGTAATCTTTGTACCCAGTAGTCGTGTTCGAACTCCCTGAGGTCCAATAGCCGACGCCGAGGAAGCCTTTGAACCCCGAGCCCTATGCGCAAGCTCACAGTGATACACGGTTGATGATATAAATCCTGCATTACCTTAAGGACCCTGAACTATGGGAGTTATGATATTCCTTATGATGGGGAATGCAGGATTTAGATCATCAGCGTAGGTCAAGCGCGAAGCGGCCAAGACCTTCGGCGTCATGGAACAGGCCACAGAAGAATGTAGCTATAGCATTTATAGGATATTGCAGTATGTTGCAGTAGAAGAAGTTGCAATATTGTAGTATTTTATAGTGATTATCATCGTCGTGGTTCTTCTTGGCAGCCGCTGGATGTGATCGCTACTTTCCGGTGTTTTTGCTTGTTCTTGATTTCTACAACCTTTGTCCGGGTGAGAAAAAATTGTATTTCCTCAGCACCCGACATCATCCTGATTGCATTCATCTGCGTTTCCACTATGATGTGATGGCTTTGATCGTTGTGCTTCGTGGCAACCGGGGAACGGCGGTGAAGACTCAACATTTCAGTTTAGGGGTTGAGGGTTGAGGTTTCAGCTTTGCGTTTTTTTGCGGTTTTGTTTTGTTTGTGCTCGTGTAGTAGGGTTGGCCCGCCGATTTCTGAGGCTTCCAATGTGTTGCGCACGAAGCGTTGAAGTGCGTTTGCTTAGTGAGTGAGTGAGCGAGCGAGTGATTGCAGAAGTGAGTGAGCCAGCCAGCCAGCCATGAAGCCAGTGATTGAGTGCGTGAACGAGAGAGGGAGTGAGTAAGTGAGCGATCGATTGAGGGAGTGACTGAGCGAGTGCGCTAGAGAGTCTAGATGTGTCTGTGTATATAGTGATACACATATGATATCCAGAAATATGCGTGTACTACATCCATCCATCCATCCATCC